TGATTTATTTAATTCACCATTACTTTGTTCAAAATAAAACTATTTAGTTATACTTTGAATTAACATTGATTATATATATGATTAAACTAACAATAATTAAAGTAAAAGCAAAGTAAGTCTGTCAAATTAGCAACGACTACATTTAATTTACCGTTTTTTATTTAATTACAACTTGATTCTGATTTTGTACCAATGCTTTTCTGAATCACCCGTCCCCAAGGGGTTAAGTCATATTTTCTCATCGTATATCTTAGCAACATTTAAATAAAGCGATACATGTTTTTGACGTTTAGTGGCAATTATGTTTCGATAACTACATAAATGAGTATAGTGATGATAATAATTCAAGCAAAGCAACTTTACATACTAAAAAAAGTTTTTTTGTGTGGTTTGTAAAAGCCAGAATTCAAATTTTTTATAGAAAAAATACTTTACCTTAGCAACGGATGGATAGCAACAAAGCGAAATGCTTAAAAGCAGTAGTATTTCAACTGATTTTAAATATACCTTTAACTTACTAGAACGTAACTGAATTAGAAATTAAAAGATAAAATTGAAGATAACTTAACACGGTATCCACGTATTTTTTATTGAGACATGAATTTTATTAAATTGTTTCGAAAAATGGGATTGTGAGTTTTTTGGACTAACTACAAATTTGCTCCGAGTACAATGTTATTTTAGTTCCGAGAAGCTATTTTATCTAAAGTAATTTAAAAACCATTCCAAACAAAACTAAACTACCGAAATTAATAAAAAGAAGAGACGGAATACCTGGCCAATGAAGCCATCTCCGTAAATTGTGAAATGTTTATTAAATCAATGTCTGTGATATTAAAATAGGGGAAAAACCAATTAACTCAATAGTTTTGTTTAAAACATTTGGCACTTGAGACCGCTATTTAAAACAACAGATGCAATACTTTTATATAATAACGAACAATCATAAAATAAATCAGTTACTAAACATCAAGGTTTAAAAATTTTAAATTTCAGAATGGCGACTTTTGATTTTCCATTAGAGAGGCATTGGACTGCAAGGAATTAAAAAGTTGCACCGTCAAAACACCTTTCCTTATTTTGTACTCATTAACTGATTAATGCTGCTTGTTAATTATCAATCTCAAAACTATTTCTGCAACCAAAACAATATGATAAACTGCAATAACTACTAAACAATATGATATTACAGTTAATTATTGATTAAAATTGTTTACACGATACAATAGTTTAGTTCAATTTGAAAGTAGAAATTGTTATGTAGGGAACAATTCTTTTTAATGTTATTGACAGGGCAGCGAAATTTTTACTTTTTTGTAAACATTTATTCTAGTTATTATATATTAAGTTTATTATTTTTGTTGTTTTCGTGTCCATGGATCTTCAGATCACATCAAAGGTCTGGAGTATTGCGGCTGCCAGCTTCGGCGGCGCCTTATGACTGTAGAGAACAGTTCTTAGATTGTACTTAATTGGTACCCATCCCAATTTCAAAACATGTGTGGTGAGTGCGGGGCACTCGAAAATGTGTTTTGGTACCAACATGACATCCGGACAGTTTCTGCAGGGAACTTATGCCCTGGTCTTGTCCGGGAGAATTTTGAAAAATTTATGTTGAAATATTTATTATTTTTTTATTCATTTCAACTTACTTTCTACACCACTACACATAAATGATTTAAAAATTTATACACAACACCACTTCGTGCCAGCTGTGTCGTCAGAGTTCCGCAGTCCTTAAAAAGTTTTAAAAGTGGTAGTAAATTTAGGGTAATTCTACAATATATGTCTTATTTTAATATACCATTTTATGGATAAGTGCTGGAATTTTGATGCATATATGCTTTCTTTGGGAAACAATTTTTAGTGGTGGCTACACAGAAATTTAAATATCAGAATTTGTTTTATTTTCGTTAACACTTTTTAAAGTTTTCAAAGCCCGTGGGAAGCCTGATCATGGTGAGGATTTTAAAATGTTAGCAAAAATATTTTAAGTTTTTACTTTTAAAAGTTTACCATTCTATAAACACACTAGGAGACAGAAATGTAAGGTTTTCAGCGTCCTACTTGAGAAAGTGGTTTATTCTTCCTCCCCAGTTTCAAGCATTGGCAAGACAGAAAAATATGGACAGTATATTGTTTATAGTGTAGGCCAAGTATCAAAAATCATCACTTCGCTAAATTTGTTTACAAATAGTGTTGTTCATTGAGAAAGCTAGAAAACAATGTTTTCAAAATAGCCACTATTACAATAATACTGAATCTAAGCTGAATCTAAAGAAAATATAACATTCATAAAAATAACATAAAAATAACATACTACTTCAGCTGGAATGTTCTGACGTGAAGCAGAAATTTTTTTTATAGAATTTTTAGCCAGGTACGTTCAAGAGTCAAATTTTATAACTAAATTTAAAATTAGATAAGAAATTATTCTCAAATTTTCTAAAGCAGAATGCCGCAAACATTCACGTTTCCTTTTGTTTATATTTAATTGATTTTTCCATTTTTCCAGTCACTATTGGGAATATTAATCGGGAATATTCATGCAAATATTGATTGAAGCATTCATGCAATTATTGTTGAGGATGAGGGTATTCTTGCAAGCATTCTAGGGGGTATTCCAGCAAACTTTGATAGAAATATTCATGCACTTTTGGCAGCATTCATGCAAACTTTGTTGGGAATATTAAATCAAATATTTTGAGATTATTCATAAATCATTGTTGGGAGCGTCCAGGAAAGCACTGTTAAAGGGTAAGTTTAAGGGTAATTGTTGGGAGAATTAATGCTAACGTTGTTGAGGGTGAGGGCATTCTTGCAAGCATTCTTGGGAGTATTCCAGCAAACTTTGTTAGAAATATTTAACCAAATATTTTGAGAGTATTCATGCTATCATTATTGAGAGTATTCATAAAAGTAATGTTAAGGGTAATCATATAAGCATTGCTGGTAATATTTGCTCTGCTTTAATCATGTATATTTGACATTGTAAGATTTACTTGAACATGGTTTGCACAGCTACGATGGTGTTGCAATCAGCTAAGTAGTCTTCTTCGGCTGAATTGGAAGATTCTTTATTTACAACGACGACGCTGTCAGCCAATGTAATTCCAGCACGTAACAGGTCATCCAGACTAAAAATAAGTAAATACAATAATCACACAGAATGCACAATATTCAGATACAATAATTTAAATTCACAGAAATGCACAGAAGTGTTGAGCCATAAGTTAAAAAACCACAATTTATATATGAAACCAAGTTTTCTTTCTGTTTAGTTTAGTCTTAAATTATCCGGTTTTTCAGCTTTCTTTAACCCTAGGTTTACGGACGTTTCTTATATACCTATCTCTACGAACACGCGTCAATTTGACGAATACATATAACAGCACTTACAGAGATGCCAACTTGCTCCGGACAGCAAATATATATTTAAAATTTGGTAGTTATTCAATTGTGATTCTCGGTTTAATGAATTCAATTTAGTTGATTTTTATCCTCCGCTATTTCTAAATAATTCGTAGGCTTATATAATTCACCACTTAATAAAAAATTTGCTTAGTAGTTAATTACCGTTTTTTAAATTGTTTTGGCGTGTCCGGTGCAGTTGGCATCTCTGCCTGCACTTAGAAAGCTATGTAATTAGTAATTATGTACTATAAGAAAAAAATTAAAATATGAGATATATATTTATAAAATATTCTAGTATTTTATTTTTCAATACTCGAACTAAGCAACTGAAACCTTCAATATCTGACACTCTGGCATCAATTGACATTCTGCGTTTGTTCTTTCTATTATTGCTTATCGGCAACAGTTGTTCATCGCTTGTTTAATTTAAGATAGCGATATCGGATAACGGATCGAAGTATTGTCGGTACATTCCTATTTTTTATTGATGTGATATTTGCATGTTTACTCAAAATTTTGTCTAAATTACGATTGCGTCCAATTGACGCATATACGTAGAGATAGGTAAACCACAAAGAGAATTTCTACAATTCAACGCTTTTGAAGAAAATAGACTTCAATATATATTTACCTCGATTAATGGATAAAAGTCACTACAAGAGATAAAATAAAAATTCAAATGGGTTTTGTAATTTTCCTTACAAAATTCGAAATGCGTCAAAATGACGCGTACCCTAAACCTAGTGTTAAGAATGAATACCTTGCCCCTTGTCCCCTCCGTAAGATACTAGTAATAACTACCACCATTTGTTATTTTTGAGAAAGGTTTTTTCCAGTGGTTCAATTACAAAAATATTGATAATTGTAGACGGAAAAGTTTTCTAATTCCATTGGAATCGAAAATTCTATCAAATGATCATCAATTCTTCAAAATATATTTTTTAATTGAAATTCTGTAGCACTTTCTGGGGTACTGTAGTCAGTGTGGCAATAAAAACTACTAAAACTTTTATGCTTTTTGCTTCTAAGTTTCCACCCTTTTAGTTACCAATATTTTTTATATAATATGGGGCTCAAATATATTTCTTTACCTGAAATTTACGGTCCACAATTGCAGTTACTAATGCTCTGATTGACTAAAATTTTAATTAGTTGATCTAAACTTTTCAATTAAAATGTGATTCTAACATACCTGCCAACTTTCACTCTTTTCGAGAATGGATTTTCAGAGTGGTTGTAAAACAATAAACGAAGAACAATCCGACTCAAAAATATATTTATATTTGGATCCCTTTGATAACCGGATTATTATGCTTTTATATATTTATTGTAATTATTTATATATAGTGGTGGTCAAACTCATTTATAATTATCATTATAATTCAAAAAGTTAATTTGAATAACCTGAGTATTGCTATCACTTTAAATATGAAAATAAAATCTTCCGGAAAATCCGGAAGAGTTTGCAGGTATGTTGTATTGAAACGAGAATCACATAAAAAAGATTTGCTACCACTTTAAATATAAAAAATTCCAAAATAAATTCGGAAATACGGCAGTCTAAAACACCATTTAATTTTCTTTTTACTCCTATTTACATTCCTATTGCCAGAAAGAGCCACCTTAAAGATAAAATCTCAAAATGGATGGGGACAATTCAGAATTTTGATTGATTTGTTCATTTGCGTCGCACTAGAGTTGCACAATGGGCTATTGGCGACGGTCTGGGAAACATCCCTGAGGATGATCCGAAGACATGCCATCACAATTTCGATCCTCAGCAGAGGGGATGGCACCCGCGTTTCGGTAGCCCGACGACCTGCACGCGAAGTCGAGCACTTTACGGTAGAACAGTTTAACGAGGACCACCCTCGGTCCCTACGCAGACTGATCCAAGTGGTCATCCACCCGCACACTGACCACAGCCAGTGATGCTTGACTTCGGTGATCTGCTGGGAACCGCGTCTTAACGATCAGTCCACTGCGTGACGGAAAATTCAGAAACCACCACTAAATGGTATGATTAACATTGGGTTTACGGAATGCGTCATTTTGACGCATTTCGAGTTTTGTAAGGAAAGTTACAAAAAACGTTTGAATTTTTTTTTTATCTCTTGTAATGTCTTTTATCCATTGATCGAGGTACATTGAAGTAATTTTTCTTCAAAAGCGTTGAAATAGTGAAATTCTTTTGGTGGTAATCTCTACGGATATGAGTTCATTTAACGAGATCGAAATTTTGAGAAAACATGCAAACATCACATCAATAATATATAGGAATGTACCTACAATACTTCGATCCGTTATCCGATATCGTTATCTCAAAGCAGAATGGCAATTAATGTCAAATTTTAGTTGCTTAGTTCGGGTATTGAAAAATAAAATACTTGAATATTTCATAAATACATATTTCATATTTTAATTTTTTTTCTTATAGGATAGGATAAGAATTACACTGCTTTCTAAGAGCAGAGATTCCAACTGCTCCGGAAACGTCAAATTAATTTTTAATAAAGACGGTAAATACCTACTAAGTAAATTTTGCAAATATAAAGTGGTGAACTAAATAAGCCTATGAATTATTTAGAAATAGTGGTGGATAAAAATTTACTAATTTGAATTGAAAAGTACTCATACTCATATGTGTTGGTTATCTTAGCATCAGCCCCGCTAGGGGCTCCAACTAATTCATCTGAGTGGAAATAAATAATAAATCGCCGAAGCACAACTGAAAGGTGAAGAATTGAAAAGTACTTGAGAGAAATTTATTATATATATTTAAAAACTGAATCTGTAGTGGTTGACAACTATATAAAAGAAACCAATTATATTCATAAATTAAAAAAATTTTTAGACATATATTTGCTACCACTTTCTAATTTGTAATAGATTTTCTATTACCGACTAATCTATTATATCCGACTACCCAGCCCAGTCACCATCTTTTACATCTGCTTCAGACTTTAATATTACCTAAATTCCAATGCCATTAGTCTCAGTCGCCCTAGGGCATAACACAGATCAGAGGTCTAGTGCCCGCTTGCGCGGGCAGGTACCTTACCAAATTACATGATCTAGCTAGCTGGATCAACTCATTGTGGTCAGATCAAACTACTTATAAGAAATCGTGTGGAGTCTTTCAGTTACAGAAGGTGGTTGGGACAAAGTTTTATATTTCTTTTTGATTTCGTTCTGAGTGTTTTGTTTTTGCCAGTACAGTGTAGCCAAACCTTATGAAACAGATTTTGTAACATGACTATTGCCTCTTCCAATGTGAAATTTTTGTTTGTTGATGGCGAGTTAACTTCTTCCGAATACCACTGTGTCAAGGATCTTACGCTAATAAACTGGCACATCTGAGCTTGCCACTTGGGCTATTAAAATTGCTTCTTAGTTTGAACAAATTTGATAATTAGATCAAAAGTTATAGTTACCGTTTTATTCTGTTCCATATACAGTGTGCAAAAAAAAAAAAAAAATAAACGGACCACTAGGTGCAACTCTTGATCAAATAATATGATTTTCATGTCGTAAGATTCAGTGTTAATGGTTCGTGGAGTTGATCTGTAATATACTAATTAATTTGCGCAGCCGATATTTTAAGTTACGAAATCAGGCACAGAAACATATTTTCTCTGTATTAATGTACCCGTTTTCAACGTATTTGGATTTCTGCTTCCTGATGTATAGGGTGTATCCGCAATATGGGTAAAATGGTCGCAAAAACCGACCAAGAGAGCGGATCAAATTTTGGCCCCGTAATGTTAATTTTATTCTTTTTTTTTATTTTGTCACATCTTAAGAAATTGTTTGAGCGAATTAAAAAACAAACTTGCACAAAAATATAAAATTCGTTTATCCAAAGGTAATTCCATGCAAAATATAACTTTTTGTAAGTATTTATTACTTTTTTTATATTTTATTAAATAATAATTGGTAAAACTTATGAATAGCAAGGTACACACATTTTTACATCATTTTAAAGAATGTAATTTTACATGATAAAATACAAAATTTGAGCAAAATCAGTTGAATAGTTCGGGAAAAAACAAATTTTGCAATTAAAACCTTTATTTAAAATTTGATTTCTCACGAACTATTTGACCGATTTGTCTCAAATTTTGTATATTTCAGTTTAAAATTGCTTCTTTAATATTATGTTAAAAATTGCATCCTTTACAGTTTAAAAGTATGAATAAAATAATGAAAAATTATAAATATTTGCTAAAACTTACATTTTCCATGGAATTATCAGTGGCTAAATGAATTTTATAATTGTGAGCAAGATTTTTTCAATTTACTTTAAATGTTTTCAAGATACGGCAAAATACACAAAAAATAAAATTAACATTAAGGAGTTCAAACTTTTAATTGCTCTCCTGACCAAACTATTCAGACTATATTTCCCACACTTTAAATCCGAATCTGTCGAGAAAAAAATGTTTATTCAGAGTAAATAAGCATTTGTGTTTGATTTCATAGTTTAACCCATTGAAGTTTACTACAGACCCGTTTTACTACTTTTAATTTAGGTTTCCATTTTTCAATAACTTCAGCTTTCTTGAAGTGAGTTTGAATAAAATTGGTAGCCATTTGTCACTTTTAAAAAACGTATAAAAGTTATAAAAAACATAATTCCTTTTGAAGTTTGTAGCATTTAAGGAATTTATTTTATAAATAAAGAAAAATAAAAGTCAGTAAGTTCCTAATAGGTCATGTTAAATATATTTACCACCAAAAAAATGGCATTTTTATAAACTAAATGAGTTTTTTTTTATATATCAATTACTGTTCTTAAAGCAATTATTCCAAAATACTTTAATTTACCTTTACTAGAAATAAAGAGCCCGTTAAAGGGTTAAAACATCGTCTGCACTAATTAATAAGCATTTTTGAGCTCACGTTTCGAACCTTTGAGATTGAGTACCTCAGTGTGAAGATTCGTTCATTAGATCAAAAGTTATTCAAGGTGGTTCGTATTTTATTTTGCGCACTGAATACACATAAATCTCATGTCGGAGGCATTTTAATAAATTTGTAATTTTGCCAAAATTTTTTTTTCACGAACGCTGAATTAAGTACTTTTTTACACTATTTATTACATAATATAGAGTGTGCTTTGTTCTACGTATGCAGACATGCTAACTTGCTCCGGACAGAAAATAAATATTTTCGAATTGTAGTTTATTAATGCATGATTCTTAGTTTAATAAATTCAATTTATTAGGTTTCTATCTACCACTATTTCTAAATAATTCGAAATTTTATATTATTCGTCACCTTATTGTTCCATTTTAACCGTCACGTTAAAGAATCTGCATCACGTCAACGAAATTAATACAATATTTGCAAATTTTAGTTTGTAGTTGTTAGCCGTTTTTTAAATTGTTATGGCGCGTTCGGAGCAGTTGGTATCTCTGTGTATGGGTAAAACAAGAGAACTTAAATAAAGCACATTTTTGTCCTATTATTTGTGCTTCTTTCTCGCTGTTTGGTTTTAGTCAATTCAATATACTTACTCATCAATAGATCCTTGCATCCAATACACTAAGGGAAACCAGGATATGGCATCGAGAAACGCTGGATGAGGTCTGTAAAAAAATTGACAGTTTATTTTTGAAAATATACATAATTGCATGCTCATATATATACTAAATTCAAAATCAATGTTTAAATTTAAGCATGTAATATTCTCTAGGAAAGGTGGATATTTGTATCCTTTGCTTTTATTCAATAAAATTTTCTTGCGAAAATTTTCCATATTTTTAAAAAGCTACTAACGTTTTCCAATTACACATTTTATAAGCATTAAATCTATTATACGACGATCTGTAATTTGTAAGGTGCCTGCCCACTTCAGCGGGCACCAGACCTCTTAGTCTATGTTATGCCCTAGGGCGATTGGATCTAATGGCATATAAATCTAATATACAGGACTGTCAACTTTCTTCGCTTTTTGAAAAAAAAATTTCTAGTGGTAGCTCAGTTATTCTTTTACTGTATTTTTTGTAGTCTATTTTTTGTAGTCTATGTTATGCCCTAGGGCGACTGGATCTAATGGCATATAAATCTAATATACAGGACTGTCAACTTTCCTCGCTTTTTGAAAAAAAAAATTTTCTAGTGGTAGCTCAGTTAATCTTTAACTGTATTTTTTTCATTTAAACTATTTTCCATACCGCTACAAATAAATGATTGAAAAGCTACTTTCTTTCAACTCTTTTTTTTGGGGGGGGAGGGCAGCGTTTACCTATTCGAAGGGTATCGCCCGCCAAGCGTTGAGCAGGGCGTGTAGGTACCGGGTTCAAATCCTAGGATGTATCTTCGTGTTGGCCTTCTACTGTGACAAAGGTTTCGAAGCTTAAACTGAGCACACAAGACTGCAAATGTATCCCGACCTGCAACTACTACGCTTTTTGCAAAATATTTTATAAAGTGGTAGACGTTTAATAACCAATAATTTCGAAATTCATGATCATTTTGACAAAATTTTAAAAGACTCAGCACAAAAGATTTTGAAAAACGTTTAAATGGGTAAAAAATAATTCATAATAGCATTAACCTTTAGATGGCAACCTTTAGATGCCACTAGAATTAATTTTTACAAAAAGCGCAGAAAGGTGGTAGTTCTTCAGAATAATACGCAACACTTTAAGAGCTTCATTATGAAATATAAATGTGCACAATGGCGTTTCAGAAATATGTTTGATTTATATTTATGTACTTTTATATGAAATAACTTTTTATCTAGTTTAATAAACCAAATTTCATGCATTCATTCGTAAACTGTACTAGCGTTCAGAAGAGTATTAAGCCTGCTAAGGAGCAAGCTGTCATGATTTATTTTGTTTAGACAATATGTTTCCCTGAAAATCAATATAAAATACATACCTGCCAACTTTCACTCTTTCTGAGAATGGATTTTCAGAGTGGTTGTAATACAATTAACGAAAAACAATCTGACTCAAAAATATATTTATATTTTGATCTCGTTGAAATTCNATTTATTTTGTAATTAATACCGCTTTTTTAATTATTATGGCGTGTGGTGAAACTCATTTATAATCATTATTATTATAACTCGAAAAGTTGAATAGAATACATGAGTATTGCTACCACTCTAAATATGAAAATAAAATCTTTCGGAAAATCCGGAAGAGTTGGCAGGTATGAAAATAATATACACTATAAAATATATGTTCTTGATAAAAAGTGGTAATACAAAAATTTTATATTTGTCTAATATTAAAGGAATGCAAACAGATCTCTGAATAAAAATTTACATATACATATATATATTTTTTGCTTATTAGTATTTCTGAGAAATCGAATTTAAAAAACATGAATTTTTGAAAATTAGATTTCTCAGGAACTATTCAACCGATTTCGCTGAAATTTTGTATATTACGAATTAAAATTGCATTCCTTAAAATGACGTTAATAATTGTATGCATGAAAATTCAAAAGTTTTTAACTATTACTTATTTATTATTAATAAAATAATAAAAATACTCACTAAAAGTTATATTTTGAATGAAATTATCTTTGAATAATCGAATTTTACAATTGTCCGAAAAAAATTTTCAAATTGCTTTAAAAATTAGCGAAATATCGTGGAAAAAGGCAAAAAAGGTAACATTTATATTAAAGGGTTCAAACTTTGGACAGATCTTCTATTTGGGCCATATTTCCTAGATTGCAACTCCCCATTATATTTTAAGGGTCATAAATCCAATTCCGCCTACAACAAAAAAATTTTTATTCTGAAAAGTACATTTTTGTGTCTGATTTCGTAACTTAAATTACTTTCTGCAGTAATTTACAAATTAGTTGGCATATTTGAGATCACCTTCTTTAATTATTGATATTCGGTCCTAGAAGGTCCGATAAGAGTTTAGGATTATCTATATTCAACTCCGTAGCCTTGTGATTGTGAACTATATCAGGAAGACAATAGAACTGCTGGATCACGCATTGGGACAAACCAGGAATCAGCTTTCGTAGATTGCGGTTTGAAGGAACTAACCCATATTTGCATTACATGGAGACGGAAACCACGAAAACCTTCCACGTCTAGCCCGACGGTAAGGGAATTGTAACCCATGAACAGTCCACTTCTTAGGATATTTTTCGTCGGTACTGTGGTTGGTACTGGTCAAAAATAGAATTCGCTAGGATTCGAACAGGATTCACCTCATTTTGAGGTGTCTTTATGAATCATATTTTATTAAGTTCTTTCTGAGTCATATTTAAAAAAGTAAAGCATCGTTGTACAAAAATGCAGAATAAAGAAACAAACCTAATTTTTAATATCTATTAAGTGAAAAAATTTCGGGACCAAATTTCTAAATCTAAAATTGAAAAATGCTGTCAATAACTTCGGCACACAGAATAGTCACAGAAATTGTGTGCACTATTGCATTCAAAATTCGCTGTAACTTTAGCAGAATATACACCAAAGAGCCATTATTACCACCCTGCTAATAACATGTAGGACCACCTTTAGCCCTCAAAACTGCTAGCACCCGCTGTGGCATTGATTCCACAAGGTGCTGATAGGTAGTCTGAGATATCTGGTACCAAGCGCTCACCAACTGGTCCTGCACTTCCCTCACATTGCGAGGGGGTAGCGTGGCAGCACGGATTTGGTTTTCGAAGTAGGATCACAAATGCTTTATTGGATTAAGGTCAGGTAAATTTGGGGGCCGAGACATCACTTGAAAGTCACTGGAATGTTCCTCGAACCAATCCATGACGATTCGACCCTTATGACATGGTGCATTATCCTGTTGGTAAACACCATCCCCCGTAGGAAAAACTGTTGCCATGAATGGGTGAACCTGGACTGCAACTGTGTTCAAGTAGCTTACAGACGTCACGGATTATTCTATGAGGATTATGGGTCCTAATGTGCCCCATGAAAACATTGTTCCTGGGCGAGAAACCATGAAAACCTGGGCGAGCCCATTGTTATAGATGGAGGGTGGTCGTAATGTAATGGTTCTTCGGTGTAATTCATAGTTATGGACATTTTTTGAGAAGTAGCATACTATAGCTGTTCCATAAGATAAGAACGGATTTATTCTATTAACTGTTATGCAGCTCGCTCTTACGAATCGGTTAAAAGAATGATATTTTCGATTTAAAAATCGGGATTTAACTGTTCAAATTCGAAATGGGGATTTGACTGATTTTTAAATAAGTAGTCCTGATACTGTATTTCATTCAGCATTTCTTTTAGCATATTTTAGATTTATTTATTCACGAAGTTAGGTCTTAATGAATCATATTTAAAAAAGTATAGTATCGTTGGACGAAATTGCTAAACAAAGGTAGAAACCTAATTTTTAAAATCCATTTTAAAAAAAATAATCAGGACTAAGTTTCTATAGATAAAATTAAAACTGGACTTTTCTTTCCAGATACAAATGAAATAGAATGCACTATTGCATTCAAAATTTAACGTAATTTTAGCAGAGTACAATTTGTACTTATGGACATTTTTTGTGAAGTAGTATAGCTGTTCCGTAAGATAAGCGCGAATATTTTTTATTAACTATTTTGAATCCCGATATTACGAATAAAACCGATTTAAGGAAAAATATTTTTGTTTCGTAAATAAGTAATCTCGATGCTATATTTTATTTGGCATTTCTTTTAGAGAGTTTTGGCTTTATATATTCATGAATTATATGAGTCATATTTATTTAGCATATATATGAGTCATATACGGTTTTTATGAGTCATGTTTAGTTTTGAACGAGGCAGGGCATTATAAATAATTGAAAAAAAATCGGACTCGGTTAAGCTTGGAATTCAAAAAGTGAGCCAATATCTAGTGGGAACTCTACATGGGTAAAAAGCTATTCACGCTATCAACCCGCCAGTCGAAGAAGCCCGCGTATTAAATGGTGACTGGTGCATGTTAAATCTTTCGGGGTCACAAAGTCCACCAAATACCCATATCTATCAATACCTTTGGGAAAAGCAGTGGTGACTCAGGGGATGGAGCGCTCGCCTTTCAATGATCTGAACCTTGTGCGAATCCCAGCGATAGCTGATCGATTCGAATTTCGCACCCGGCTCACGCTGACCACGACCATAGTGCTAACGTAAAATATTCTCAGTGGTAGACGGATCATGGGTTAAAGTAGCTTTGCCGTCAGACTGACAGTGAAAGATTTTTCGTGGTTTTGCTCTCCATGTAACGCACATTTGTGTTAGTTCCATCAAAAAGCCGTTCATGAAATTTCTCCCAATACTTGATCCCGAAGTTCCCTTGTCTTCTGGATTGGGTTCAAAGTACAAGGCTACGGAGTTGAACATTGGTAGTCTTAAACCCTGAAATGGGTTGGCTGTCCCACGACGGCTATAAAGCAAAATAAAATACCTCTAGGAGTAATAAATTAAGAGATTGAATGTTCTCTACGATTGTTATTACGATCTGTGGGTGAATGGATAGAGTATGCATGGGTCCTCCCTGAAAAACGGGCTGTGACGTGTGTGTGGCTGAAATCGCATTCTTGGCCATAGATGGCGGAACAGAAAAACAAGAAACGTAACCTCTGCCTTGAATTCATGTGGTTTTCCGTAACAGGCTTGCGTAACAGTATAGGCGAATAGCATACATAACAACAACAACCCTATACATGATGTGCTATAGTTCAAATGGGAATTTTAGAACCCAAAGGACTTACTTCTTTTCTAGGAGTAGAACAATGGGTCTGAGTGTCTGCGGACTGTGAAAATGAGCTCTGAGTGGAACAATGAAGTTATAGATTCCGTTGCTGGCATAGTCAGCAGCAAGGATAATACAGCGATTTGGCCAGTTGTAGTTCTTGGCTGTGCGAAACGTGCAGTGATCACAGACCTACAACGCAACATCAGAACATGTTCTTAGACTTTAAAATATTGTGATCATTATATTCCTTAAGGAACACAAAAGTACTGAAACAAATTGTGAAATGACTTTACATCAATTACAGTTTAATGGGTTATTGCTATAAGTATTCACTTACCATCACGAGAAAAGCTTCCCCAAAGAGCCTAATCCGGAAAAAAAAACTGGAAAATTGTACATTGCAAAAAGTTGCAGAATTATTTGTTTTTTTTTATTGCTTTTAGGATATATTGTTTGTATTGTTTTTTATTGTATTGTGTCTTAAGTATTAAAAAAATCGTAACTATTATGAATTACGCCAAGATGGTGCAAACTGTCAAATTGTTATTGTGAAAAGCAGGGCTCAACCTCTGGTGGTGGCTTGTAACCCACCTAACTTCTGTTCGATGGTTAGTAAAGGCGACCACGTTTCAATCACGTTGTCATCATCTAATTATTTAACATGAAATTATGGATTGTTCAAGTACATGATCTCCTGGCACACAAAAGGCTGTTTTTGATCTATAATACTGGACTTCAACCTCCTCTTCAGATATAGTATGACGTATTATTTATGGCGGCACTGCGATATTTGCATCCGCATTCTATAAAATCATAACTTAAATATAAAGAATCGAGCTGCTTAAGCATGTTATATCATGTTATTTATTCATTTTTCAATGTCTAAAGAATCAAGTAAATTGAATCAAACTTTTGAGATAATGAGAACGAGGCAAACAAGCACATTACCCAAGAAAAATGTGTGTGTGTGCGGAAGATCTTGATTCGACACTTTAACGACTCTAGCTATTCAGTCTACAGATTACCTATTCGGAAATGCCAACTTGCTCCGGACAGTAAATATATATTTTAAAGTGGTAGTTTATACATTGTGATTCTTGGTATGATACGTCCGATAAATTCAATTCAACCGATAATTCAGTCCGATAAATTAAATTCAATTCAATTCAACTTAGCAGATTTTTATCCGCCACTATTTCTAAATAATTCGAAGGCTTATATAATTCACCACTTTCTAGAACTTATGTCATGCTATACCTTTTAAAAAGTAAGCAAAAATAGTCAAATATTTACAGAATTTACTTACCATTTTTTTAAAAATTATTTTGGCGTGTCCGGAGCAGTTGGCATCTCTGCCTACTAATGTGCACTAAAATGAACTAAATTATACAAACAACATAAAATTAACAAACTTTTTGCGACAAAAATTAAGAATGAAGCGTCGTATATAACTCGATTAAAAAAGACCAACTTAAATTATGAAAATTGAGAATCTATGATGTAGATTCTGTTTTAAATTATTTAAAAAAATTTATATTAGCTTACCTGTGATAATTGCAGGCAGCATAGATCTTTCTTAACTTTGAGCAAATAACAGAAAGTTGGGCTAACCCCAACGTATGGTGTGACGGGAGGAAAACCACGAACAATCCTGAAATAAATTATAATTTGCTTCTTATTTTAAAAAAACCCAACTTAAATCAATAAAGAAATTAAAGGTATAATGATTTCAAAAGCACCAAGCAATAAGATGTTACAAATATACTTATGATTAGATTTGTCTAAATTTCCTCATCAAGTGAGATTGATAGACTTTGCAACAAAAGCTTTTTACAGTTATAAACCCACTTTCGGTTCTGCGAGTAAAATTCTTTTTTTAACCTGCAATTCTCTCCGCACAGCAAAACTGGTTTTTTCATACTATCAGATTGGGAAATGATGTATAGGGCAGAAATATTCTTCCAATTTTGCCTATTTTCTAAACAGCCAGTGGGTTAATCCTTTGCACTAGAAATTTTTTTAACGATTAAAAAAAAAAAAAAAAACTGGCGTAGTAACTATAAGTTTACAAGACAAAATTTATTGTTATCACGTTTACCATATGATATCTGGGGACCGTTTACTAAGGCAGTTAATAAACATTAAGAAGTAAATAAATTAAACATTTGAGCGTTTGGAAATCCAAATATCTGCAGTTACTTTAAAAACTTGAATTAGATATTTCAGCTCAATAGCATACCTGCCAATTTTTACGCATTTGGTGTAAAACTTTATTTCTATATTTAAAGCGGTAGTAAAATGTATGCTTTCTATGTGTTCCTTGTATTTATAAGCTTAATTTATAATCTTTCTGACCGCCACTATTTTCTAAAAAAAATTAAGCACATATTTTAATATGCAAAATTTTTAGGGTAGATCGCATTAGCTCTCTCAAAATATAGCGTATGATTCTGTCTAAGATTGCAATTTAAGTTCCATTTTACTACCACTGTGGAAAATCATTCTCGAAAGGATTAAAAGTTGTCAGGTATGCAACAGTAATTGTTATTTTGTTGAGAACAATATCTGTCACCTTATGGATTAGTGACTGCTGAAAATAACGTCTAAGAGTATTGCGATCGCTGCGCAAGCACAGAATGGACTAATGACGTAGATTTTTTTTCACCATTAAACGTGGCATCCCAACGGGACTGATTGGATTACGATAAAGTACGAAATCCAATGAGTCACGTTGGGATGACACGTTTGGACATGCGCATTCGAAATTATAAGCTGAGACATAACCATCGGTGTTTACTGTAAATCCACGATATGATACTTACTCGCAGGTCTCTGCTGGCGTCACCCATGGTATGTCTAAATATTTTTCTTGTTCTGCTTCCAGGGCATCTTCCATGCCTTCAGAGGAAGTGTGTGTCACGTGGATGCCCGGTGGAGCAAAACTGTTGACAATAGGCACGATCCCGCTTTTTTTCATACCCCCGATGCCTATGGCTGCTGGTATGCACTCAGAGAGGGGTACCTGAAGGTGGCTGCCGAATCTTCTAGTTTGGAAAACATTCCCTTTCAGTTCAGCTGCGATAGAAAGTTTGATGAGTTGTAATTCTATGAGTAAGAATTACGGCAAAACATTTAAACATTAAATAAAATAAATGTATAAATAGAAATTTAGTAAATTTGTTTAATGAGTTTTTTTTATACGCTCGAATACGAAATCTAGGGAGAATACTTGTTCCACGCCTTTGGCTTTCCCCCTTTCCTTTCCTCCTCTTGTATAGGAATGTACGACGATTTTTTTCCTTTTCTTAATATTTTTCGTATTTAATTGTTAAAAAAATATTTATTAAAATTTTCATTACGCTTACTTTTAGAACTAAGTTTAACGTAGTTTTTAGTTCCATATAGTTTCCTAACTTAAAAGATTTTAATCTATTTGAAAATCAAGACAGAAACTAACGTACTTCCTTCTTCTATGACTCTCCACTCGCTAGAATGAAAGCATGCGAAGTGTTGCCATAGGTAGAGAGCTCTGCTCTACGCCACCTGTAGCCCATTTCGATCGCCAATAAAAAAGAGACTTTATCAGGAAATATAAGAGAAATTATATGAAACAGTCCACATTGTTATGAAAACAACAAAATCGATGTTTTTATAAAATTTTGGAAAGCTCCACCTTCTGAAAATAACATCCTAAATTTTAATTTTGCTAACGAAACCATTTTTGTCTCTCAATTATAAATAATTATGCATATCAGAAATGTAATTAGTTACTTACGAGGCTCATCAATGAACTTATCTCCTACCTTAATAAAAATTGCTCGCATAGCGCAATTATTCAATCGCATTATAATCATTATGAACTTCAAGGTTGCCTTAATCAATCATAACAAAATTAGAGATGGCCAACAACTCTAGATTCTACAAAATATTTAGAAAAACGGTCGACAATTAGATACCGAAGCTTGCAAAAAATTTTCAACTTTTTAAAAGTCTCAACATGGCTAAAATGTGGAAAAGAGAAGATGGGTACCTGGCCAAGAAGGCAGGCCTCCGTAATGAAGGTGCATAAGAAATGTTGTGTGCTGCGATGTAAAATGATACAGGAGATGGAACTGTTCAGGGGCTGAATACCCGAAGTGAGCAGTTAAAAAGGAAAGTTGAACCACTGTGATCCGGCATGTAATGCTGAAGTTGAAGAAAAAATGAGGCAGAAGCGATATTCTCAGTGGTAAACGGATCACAGGTTAGAGTCACCTTGTGTCAGGCTAACCACAGGAGGTTTTCGTAGTTCCATGTAATGCAAAAGCAGATTAGTTTTATTATTTTGAAGAGAAGTTATTTTGTCTTCTGGATTGGGTTCAAAATGACAAGGCTTCCCGGGTGAACATTGGTAATCGTTAAGTCAAAAATTGGGTCGGCTGGTCAACGACTGTTAGGAAATATATAAATAAAATATCTGCTGCAGATGTGTATCAATAGATAGATTTAGAACAGATAAATATTTAGAACTTATATTCACAAGGCAATTTAATCACACACAAGCATACATGCTAAATTCTTCCTTTCAAAAGAGAGTTTTTCTCGGGTATTCAAAACTCTAACAAAGTTTTTTTACAATAAAATAACATGAAAAAGTTCAAGTAGTTATTAACAACTGTTTAAGAAGAATTTTGAGTATCAAGTGGTTCCATGAATTTGTAATGCAGATATCCTCAGAAAAGCAAAACAGAAACTGATTGCTCGGGAAAATAAAAAACGTAAATGGAAATGGATTAGTCATGTTCTACGTAAACCTGAAAAATTTAAAGTGAAACAAGTTTTTGATTGGAATCCTCAAGGAAATAGAAAAATAGGAAGACCTAAAAATACACGTGCTAGGACGATAGTATACGAATTAAAAACATAAGGAAAACCATGGAGTGAGGCAAAATCTCTGGCCACAAATGGAAGAAATGGAAATGGAGAAATGGAGAGCTATGTTAGAAACCCTATGCTCCGATTCAGAGTGAAGAACAATATGTATGTACCCATGTAATCAATTTCTTGGCTTACCATTTAAATTTAAATTTATAAAATCTGATTAATTTAGTATCGTATTTACCCTTCGATATTAAAAAAAATACATACCTGAATGACCTATTATTTATAAAAATATGACACCTAAAGATCTCCCGAAGAAACATTTTAATCTATACCTTAATCTGATATTTCGCTAACACTTTAACCTTTTTGCTCTCGAAATCCAATAGAACCTGGTTTTCTTGACCATCAGTTGTGCCAACCGAAAGCAAAAGGTCAAATATTGTTAGAATATTTGACTTCCACTCGGGCATGTATGCATCAGCTAAAACTTCAATTTTTTTTAAATTTTTTTTTATTTTTTCATAACTCAGAAAAAAACATACTCTAACATCATCAGAACATACTCCCGTAAGTCTAATATTTCATAGTATAGAAGTAATTTTACTAATAATTTTAACCACTTAAAATAATTAAGATATAGATTTAGTTATCTGCTCTGAACCCTATTATACAAATTGTAATAGCAAATACGACTACGAGAAAATTTTAATTGATTTTCAGTAGATTATTAACCTTTTAGGGCAGCTTCATTTTCTTGGGCAGCATTTGCATCCGGGTTCGGGTCCGGTGCCAGTCCCACTAGACTTTCTCTTTTCAGAACATGTTCTGCGGGTAGAAAAGCGCTATTCTCTTCTTTTGTGATATTCATGTAAAAGCAGATGTCTGAAGGCTTTAGGACATAATTTGGACCAGGATTCAAGAGAACGGGCCATGTTCCACTCATTTCTGTTTTCACACCAACAAGAGCCACACCATACCTACGTAGATAAATTTATGCATGTGAAATTGGGTTGTGTACAGTACAGGTTGATGTGTACAGTTAATATACAGTTCGTATAAATATATTTAAAAGAAAAAAGGAAACACCCTGAATAAATTTTGATTAAATGATTTCAAAAAAGTTAGAAACTATAAATTCGATTTCTCAATAACTCTTCGACAGATTTAGCTCAAATTTTGTATTTTGCTATCTAAAATAACATTCTTTAAAATGATACAGTAAATTGTATACCTTACAATTCAACATTTTTTCGACCATTTTTAAATGAAAAAATAAAAAATAATAAATATTTTACTAGAAGTTATTTTTTGCAAGGAATTATCTTTGGATAAATGAAATTTATAATTGTGTGTAAAAAAATTTCTATTTGCTTAAAAAGTTCTCGAGACATACCGAAATACTCAGAAAGTAAAACTAACATTAAGGGGTCCAAATTTTGGAGCACTTTCCTGATCAAACTATGGGGACCATATTTCCCAAATTAGAGTTACCCCTTATATTTTTGGAGTCAGAAATCTGAATCCGCCAGGAAAAAGGTATGTTTATTCAGAACGTTTTTGTGTCTGGTAGAAAAGTACGTTTTTGTGTCTGATTTCGTAACTTAAAATATCGTCTGCACTTTTTTTTTTAGCATATTTGAAGTCACCCCTTCGAACCATTAAAAATGAGTCCTAGATCAAAAGTTATTCAGGGTGGTCTGTTTTTTTCTGACGGCTTTTATTTACATAAATCATTAAACAGGAACTAACATTAAAACCACAGACACCCCTATTAGCTTCTTAAGGCCCGTTCCGTGTTTTTTTTACTTAAAATAAAAACATATGGTAAAACAATTATTTAACAATTAACATATTACATTCAATGTTAATTTTTTTTTTGTCATGCCTTGAATCTTAAATTTCAAAACGTTGATTTATGCACGTTACTGTGAATGACCGTTGTTGTTATCCACTGGTGATTGTTGACTACCACATTGTCGCTTTGGTAAATATCCAAAATATATACTAGGTCTGGTTAAGTGCCACTGCTTGGTATACCCTACGCTGACGTTTTTTTAGAGTTTAGTGTAATTTCCCGGTATACATTTGCCAGGCATTCCCTACATCAATGTTTTTTTAAAGTTAAGTGCCAAGGCTCGGTGTGCATTTAACCGAAACTTCGAACACTGATGTTTTTCCTAATCTATCCTCAGCAGATATTAAAATATCGAATGAATATAATAATATCAACCAATAAATTAATATCTAATCTTATATAACAGATATTTCGGACAATCACAAAAGCGACTACGTGATTGTTGACATTCACCGGTGAAAGTCGACATTCTCTTGGTTTCCGTCATTCACGATTACAGATACACAAATTGTTTCGTAATGCATATAAGTAGATGAAATATGGTACAAAAACCTTTTTCATTCAGATCCTATTTTAATAATTTTTAGTTCTGAGTATAATAAAAGTCTTGAAAAAATTGCTATAAATAAGGTCAAAAAATTATATTTTGCTGTAATAGAATTTTTTTTAAATTTGTTTTGTTCATTCGTTACTTATTTATTTATTGGGAAATATTAAATTTTCGAAATTTTGTAATAATCAACAAGAAAACGATATAAAATACTAAACCAATGTTTTGGTTTTATAGTCATGCTGGGCAATTATTAAACGGAATTTAATAAAAGACATCACAAAAGTACAAGTCTTCCCAATAAAATATAAAAAATGGTTTTTATTTTATGACGCCATGATATGAAAAAGCAAATTTTCGCATACAGTTTACTAGATATGCCTTCTGAACCATCCAAGTATATTTGAGTAGTTACGAATAAGATTTTAATTTGAGAAAATTTAAATTAAGCAGTTTCAATACCACTTTTGATGTTTTTGAGCGCAGTTTACATTTCTGCCTATTGTATAACATGAATCTTAAGGAGAATCTCAGCTGACCAATATGTCCTAGAAATGAGAAAACCTCATCACGGGTTACAATAAACAAAAATTTTGATACTTTTGTAGTCCAAACGTAATGACATCTTTCGTATTTACCATCACTGCGCAGCTTAGAAGCCCGAACGTAATGACATTTTCCTGATTTTTCATCCACTGCGCAGTTTATGTTTGTTACGACGAACTACTAATTTGATCCGTGCTGAGGCCTTCTTTCTTCTAGGAGGTGTTGAGCTGACTTGATCTATTTGTGCACGTAACGGTACCATCGGCGCTCGGGCTCGCAGTAGTATTTTATCGTCTTTGTCTGAAACTTCTAAATGCAGAATCTGTAGTTAGAAATCGTTGAACTACAGAAGGGCTCACATTTAGTCATCTGGCTACATCGATCTGACTTTGTCCCGCGGCTAGATTTGTATGGATCTCCCTTGCAGTTCTTCGGACAAAAGATGCTTAACACTAGGTTTACGGAATGCGTCATTTTGATGCATTTCGAATTTTATAAGGACAATTACAAAACTCGTTTGGCTTTTTATTTTATCTTCTTGTAATGACTTTTATTCACGGATCGAGGTAAATATATATTGAAGTCTATTTTCTTCAAAAGCGTTGAAATGTTGAAATTCTCTTTGTGGTATAGTACCTATCTCTACGGATATGCTTCAATTTCTATCGATCGTAATTTAGACAAATTTTTGAGTAAACATGCAAACCTCAAATCAATAATAAATAGGAATGTACCTACAATACTTCAATCCGTTATCATATATCGTTGTCTCAAATGAAACAAGCGATAAACAACTGTTGCCGATAGGCAGTAATAGAAGGAACAAACGCAGAATGTCAATTGATGTCAGATTTTGAAGGTTTCAGTTGCTTAGTTCGTATATTGAAAAATAAAATGCTAGAATATTTCATAAATATATATCTCATGTTTACATATTTTTGTCTTATAGTATATAATTACATTGCTTTGTATGGGCAGAGATGCTAACTGCTCTGGACACTCCTGAATAATTGAACTTGTGTTTCTTTCTGAGTGCCTGTCAGCGAAGCAAACAATTGAGTTTTTCATATGAGCTTGTGCCCGAGGGCGTCTGTAATTTTGTACTAGAATAATTAAAGAAAAACGATAAAAATCTACTAAGTAAATTTTACAAATATAAAGCGGTGAATTATATAACTCTAGGAATTATTTAAAATAGTGGTGATTAAAAATCTACTAAATTGAATTTATTAAACCACGAATCACTATTGATAGACTACCACTTTAAAATATATATTTGTTGTCCGGCGCAAGTTGGCATGTCTGTAAATGTTGTTATATGTATTCGTTCGTACAGATAGGTACATAAGAAACGTCCGTTAACCTAGAGTTAAAGGTTACAGAATGGCTACCTCAAATTTTTAACTTCAAAAACAGCTCCATATGTCACTCGCGAGTCAAAGTTTTCGATCACTGAACTAAAAAATGTTTATCATAGCCTCGATTTTGAAGTGCATTGAATAATAATATTTTGAATTTCTTTAATCCGAACGAGATTAAACTCTTTAACTTATAAGATAAATCTTATGATACTCTTTAATCTTTCCTCTTAATACACTTTCCTATTCTAAGGAAGCTATATTATACAAGTCCATTTAAAAGTAATTTATGATACAATTATCGAAAATGAAATGCCCTCTTTTATAATGAATCCAGAAGATGCTGTGTTAAATGGTATTTCGAATGACTATATTAAAGTAATAAAAATGACTTTTTTGCGGTTATTAAACATGCATGAGGAAGTTAACTGTCGTCTAATAAGAGGTCGTTTTGTTTTCAAGGTACAGGTATGTGTCATCTATTATAAGTGGCGTATTATATTTTTAAGGCAAAAGTACATTTTTCTCGATATTAAAACTTTCAGATAGATGATGAGAGTGGACGGAAGAATTTACGAACTTTTCAAGCATCATATTTAATTTTTGTCGTAAGGATCAGAATTTTATGACCAATCTTTCTGCTTAAAATTATTGATCTCAAATATGATTATTAATTGGCGACATATAATTAAATATGTAGCCAATTACATATTTAATTAAGTACATATTTAACTACATATTTAATAAGATATTATATACAAATGTACTTTATACAAATCTCTATACAAATATTCTCTGAAATAGCAGGCCCCTTTTTTTTAAAGATTCGAGTTTTCATCACCAAAATTTATGGGAAGTACTTTTACGGAATACTTTTGCCAGAGAAGCTGTCAAAACTTTGGAACCCTAAATGCTGGCATCACTTTTTCCTTAGAAGTTTTATTGGTGAATTGAAACCCTTTTACGCCTCATTATGAAATCTATTTATCCAATGAAACTTGCAAAAAAGAATTTTAAAAAATATTTTTATTTCACTTAACATTCTTGAATTGCAAGACATAAGAATTTTTACGTAACTTCAAAAAGAGTAAAACAAAATTCAGTCTTTTTTGAATTTTTAACTCCGAAAATATTAAATCGATTCGTCTTTATTTGTTTGAGAAAAAAAGAAAAGAGATTTGGTGCGTAATGAGTGTAGTGTACAAGTACCACGCTTTTTCATTTGCATTTGTTTATCAAAAAACGACATAATCAAAAGTAACATTTCACCGAAATTGGTTTTAAAAGTAATTTCAAATAAAAACCACTCGGTAGGCAAAATTACTCTAGCTATACTTTAATTTTGTTACCAGGATCTTTATTTTATTTTAGGAAACGACTATGAAAATAGACATAAGCATTATAAATCTATACTATAAGCACTCTTAGTGTAGAAATTATATCGCTCTTTTAAATTGATAGTGAACTACATGTATATTATCGTATGAAACAGGGCAAAGTAATTTCTTCTGATTGTACAAACTATAGCACTAGCTCTGTCTAATATATTTAATAAAATAGGGAAGAAGCATTCTATATATAAAAATCTTGTGTCGTGTTACATTAATAATATTCTTACTTCCTGTGAGAATGAAAGGATGCAAAAGTGAAAGGCTTTCCTTCATACTCGCCAAAGAAACGACTGTCGCCAAGTCTGATGTGATAGATTTCATTTCCAGAACACTTTCCGTACAGCCGTTGCCAGTCTTCAGAATTAACTTGACCTTCCCTAGAGAAAAAAAAGTAAGAATGATCCAATATAATATGCTGTTATACTCGAGATCGAAATGCACATAATAGATAACTCATGTAGTATTTCAGTTTTCTCACCTATTCCTTTTAAATCAAAATTTAAAAGATTAATTTTTTATAAAAATAATTATTAATGTAGTGTGCAAAATAAAAAACGGATAATCTTGAATAACTTTTGATCGAAAGTTCAAATGTTCACATTTTAGGACTCAATCTTAAATCGATTAGGTGATCTCAAATATCCAAATTAATTAGTGAAGAATTTTTTCCCTGTACTAACAAACATTAGGAAAATTAATAAAAATTTTTACAACTGACTTATTGTTTATTAACTCTGTAGATTACATGCGCCTGCAGTTCGAGATTAATAATTCTGTTGAATTGACTACTTAATCATCTCAATGATATTTGAATGAAAGTAAAAATACGAAGAAAAAAAATGGTAAAATTGTTGTGCAATTGATGCGTGGATTTATTTCTTGTCATAAAAGCATTTCATCCAACTTGTTATCCCGATTGTGAAGGAAACAATTCAGGTTTATTAATCTAATAATTTAGGTTGTAGTATAAAAATGTTATAATCAAATATTTGAATCATCTTATATTATGAATGATAAATAAGTAGTAAAAAAATAACCGATTCAAGTTTATTAATCAAACAGTTAAGGTTAAAGTATAAAAACGATTTCCCTTATATATTTTGAAGTGATTAATAAGTTGTAAAAAATAAACGATTCAGATTTGTTGATCTAACAATTAAAGTTAAGGATAAAAATGATTTCTCTTCCATTTTATGAAAAGATTAATAAATTTTAAAAAATTAAGGAATCAGGTTTATTAATATGAAATAAGGTTTGAGTACAAAAATGATTCTCGGTATATTATGAAATGGTTCAATTTAAATTATGGTCAAATATATAATTTTGTCACATTTTTGTTGGTTTCCTATAAGAAAAGGTTTCTTATAAGAGAATTGCAACGGAAATTAGAAATTTACATATAATTAATGGATAAAAAACGAACCCTAATCAATTCTTTCTCAGAATTTATTTGCATTAATTGATACAAAATTATCTTTCACAAAAACGACGAATTGGAAATAAAAGGAAGTATGAATTCTGGTCTCCGAATGTAAGCTATTGTAATTGTTATTTGAAGCTCAAGAAAAGGATACTTATTCAAATTATTTAAAGCCTTAAAACTTCAAACGTGAAATTTGAAAAAGAAAAGTATCTGATAAAAAGGATTCAATTTCGTCTTACTGGAGAATGAAACATGAATATCTAACTTGAAAATAAAACATTTTTATCTCAATAAAATACGAGTCATAATTGAATCAAACATGCAAGAATCAAAGTCCGATATCCCAAATGTCTGGGGAATTTTACGGTTGTGTAAAGATGAAGGAGATTTTATTCATGGCACAAATATAAGAAGAGAGAAATAAATTGAAATTTTACATTTATGCTTCATAAATTTTGTATAATGTTTTTGATTATAATTTCAAAGAGAAGTTTAAACGAAATTACCAAATTGTTGTAATATTATAGGATTCTTCAAAACCTAAAATTCATGTATACATATACTTAGTTTATAGGTTGATAGTAGCTATTTCTTATTTATTCCAAACCACATATGTTTTTAACTTTCATTAATATTCAATATACTATTTGAAATATTAGTTTTATAGTTAGTGAAAGTAATAATCATTTTATAAGTTTGCTAGAGAAGATGTGACTCTATGTCATGGACAAATCAAGATGTTTATATTTTTTCTTTTAATGACGTTTACTTACGCAAATAAAAATGTTGCGAACAATTCCCTTCTCAAATCCCTACATACATCAGTGGGATAAGCAAAATTGCGTTTCCTTTTACTGATTGTCAATATTATCCTATTATTCACGCTACTGCATGTCCAGTTTCTCAACACCCTACTCTGGATAAACTCCTTTTAAGACTACAATAAAAAGTTTAGATGTTGTGCCCGTCACTTATCTTCAATAACATCGAGATAATTCTTTATGCGATCATTTTTCTCATCTGGTGATCAAAATGTAAAACAATGTTTTTTTTATTTATTTTTATTTTATTTCGAATGAGCTGCACAATCGGTCTTGCCGATGAGCAGACATAGTGCGTTCTCCAGAGGTGGTATCCACTCTTTCAGGACCACCACAATGGGTGAAATACCGTTGGTCATGTTAATTTGGACGTCTAGTTTCTGCCACACTAGATGGCAGCACCGAGACTCTATTTGGATGCTAAAGTACACTAGGAATTTAATTTTGCCGGAAATGCCAAGAGCCAATAAGGCACGTAATTCAATGTTTTAAAGTGGTTTTTCTCTATGGTGTAATTATATTTTTTTACCGCCGTTGAACAGCTGACCCATATATGAGTTTACCGCTACCAATGTTCAACTCGTTGTAATATTGAGCCTTGTAAGATTGTACCTAATCTAGAAGTCAAGGGAACTCCTGGATCAAGTATTGGGTGAAATTTCGCCTACGTGGAGAATTTTTTGATGAAAGTTGCCCGTATTTGCGTTACATGAAGAGGAAAATCACGAGGACCTTCCACGGTTAGCATGAAGGCAAAAGGGACTCTAACCCATGATCCGTCTACCACTGAGAATATTTTACGTCGGCACTGTGGTCGGAGTGAACCAGGTCCGGATTTCGTTCGACCAGCCATCGCTGGGATTCGAACTCGGTTCACCTCATTAGTACGCAAGCGCTCTATTCCCTGAGTCACCACAATTCTCTATGGTCTATTTTATTTTACAACAGTCGTTGTACAGCCGACCCGATTTCATGTGTTTATGACTACTAATGTTCAACTCCGTGACCTTGTAATTTTGAACCCAATCCAGAAGACAAGGGAACTCCTAGATCAAGTATTGGGAGAAATTTGTCTTCGTGGAGGATTTTTTGATGGAACTAACCCGTTACATGGAGAGGAAGACCACGATCCGTTTACCACTGAGGATATTTCATGTCAGCACTGTGGTCGGTGCAAGCCGGATACGGAATTTGTATCGACTGGGATTCGAACCCGGTTCACCTCATTGGAAGGCGAATGCTCTATCCCCTGAGCCATCGCGGCTCTCTCTATGGTCTATGTAATATATGTACCAAATTTTATGGGCATCTGATGACCAGAACGTACTCTATGGTTGTCTAAACAGAGCAGCTATAACTTATTAAATTGATGTATACTACTTTTATGTAAATGTGATAATACTTACTGTCCTCTAGAAGTGTGAAGTAGAAGCGTGACTAAAGTTGAAGTTCCAGGACAAAGGCAATTATTAGCTAAGAGAGCATATTTAAACTCATCTTCACAAACAACATGTTCTGAAACAAAAGAACAGTAGAGATTATTTGCTTACTAATTTATTTGTAAAATGAAGCAGTAATTACAACATCGCACATATTTTTATGGATGCAAGAAAGTTATTAACGGTTTTGTTAACCCCTTCCGGTGTAGCGAATTTTGATTTCAATTCTTAAACAGCATTAACAGCTACGTCTGCAGATAATGAGTTTTGTGTAAAGAGATGTACTTGATCTCAACGGTGTTTAAAAAAATAGTGATTGCAAAAACCGAAGGACCTTTATAAGCAAATAATTAAGACTTTTCTTAATACATTTTTATTAGACATACTGCACCGGAAAGGGTTAAAAAAGAATATTCTTTAAGACAATCTATATGTTACCGGCAAAGTATGAAATCCGGCATTATATATAATGCCTGAAACTAGCCGGCAAAGTATGAAATGATTTATATTTCACACATTGCCTAGGCATTATTATATAATGCCGGATGCTATGTAGGCAAAATATGAAATAAACGTCGCGACGAGGTTATAATGAAGGCATACTACTGTTCTTTGTGTGAAAGACTTTAAAATACGGTAAACAATTAATACAAAAATTTCAATATTACTTTTAGTTATAAGAGACTCATATAGATTGACTTGACTTGATAGGAATCTCACTTCTTCATCTGGTCATAATGATAGTAGTGGTGACTATTGGCATGGGTTGTGAAGTGGTTAGAGTGGTGGCAATGTAGCCTCTGTAAGAACTTATAGTCATATCTGATAACGGGCTTTTTTAATCAACTTTTGAATTGAAAGAATTTAGTGGTAGGTAAAAAAAACTTTTTTATCAAATATAAACTAAGGATATTATATTAAAACTTAATTTTTGCTATCATAGAAAACAATTTTACCATAAAAGAGGAGCAAGTTGACATTTATGGTATATTATCACAGTTAAATAATAAAATAACTAAGTGAAACCTTTTAGAATAAAAATTCAGTTATATAATAGAACTTTAATTTATAAGAAGTCTACTTTCAGAAAAAAATGTAGAAAAAGACGAATTACGAATAAGCGTAATTTATAAAAATTGAAACGACGTTTCTAATGATATTATGGCAATTATTAATTTTTCTAAAATAGCTAAGAATTTCAAAACCATTCTATTACAGATAATATAAATAATAACATTTCTTAACAATAAACATGTGAAACATTTTGAATTGTAATTCTAGTTTATTTTGTATAACAGGAAGTATTTCATTTCCCGATTTTATTTGACGAGGATTTAAAACAATTATTCTATATGAGAAATGATGATAATGAAATTCAGTTATTTGTTGAGAATAAAAATATGTAGTTCATGATTCATTTTCTCTAAATGTATTCTTGAAAAATATCAATCCTCAGTATTAAAATCTCCCAAAAAATGTTTAGATAATATGAAATTTAAATACAGACAGTAAAAAGAAATTCTTACACGGATTGTTTTGGAATTTTGAAGTTTTATAATTTGGAAAAAAATATTTACATCAGCTCAAATGCATTAAATTTAAAAGATTGAAATATTGCTTCAGCAAATATTGCATTAAAATTTTTATTAATATGTATAAATGTAAGGGAACTTAAATATTTTAGGAAGTAGTTAATTTAAATCATTAAAATAATTTAATTATATTTTTAAATTATAGATATTAATGTAGAAAGATAAATATTACACAGAAAAAAAATTAGACTAGTCAAGATAATTAAAATTTCATATGCTAAAATAAATTCCTAAGTCACATACAAGTATTTTTATATTTAAATGCTAATTTACGTTCTCTAAAAACTAAGAAAAACATATTTGATTTGATTGAAAATACAAACTTTAATTATAACAGAAAGAAAAACAACGTGGTTAAGAATAGTTAACATAATTAAGTCTATTGAAAATCCATATGTAAATTTACACGAATTAATTATGTTCTTGATATGAAAACCAATATTTTATGAATACAAATTTAATTTCAAAGCTTAAAAACTTTATATCATTTAATCTAATTTTAAATGTAATTGATAATTGGGTTTTATTTTTACTTCAGATTTGTCTTTTATCTTTTAACATATGAAAAAAGTTTTTGATGAGACAACTCGTAAACGTAATTAAGATGCACATTCACATCTGTATAGTTTACAGGGTTATCTCAAACTATATGATCTATACAGAGTACTAAAAAAAATTTTTTTGTTTTGTGAAAAATGCGTCATAAAAACAGAACGATATGAAAGTTCGTACAGTTTCTTAACGGTGTCACTTAACTAAAATTAATCAACTAAATTAATTAAAACACATGCTACCTGCAACAAATTTAAAATTGTTCTCTATAAGTCAAACCTCGGATTTAAAAGACTCTTATGATCAAACCTATCCTCAAATATGCCTCTTCTGCGTGTGTTAATATCATCAAATCTCTTCTAGATAAGATTGTAATAATGTCGAAACATTGCTCTTTGAAAATTAACAAAAGACAGATGGTATATCTCATATTTTTATTACCTCCATGGAACATCCGATCCAATTATGAGTTTACGACTACTACTGTTGAATTCCGTAGCCTAGTAATCTTGAACCTAATCCAGAAGACGAGGGAACTCCTGGATTATGTATTGAGAGAAATTTGTCTTCCTGGTGAACTTATTGACAGAACTTCCTTGTAGTTGCTTTACATGGGGAGGAAAACTACGAAAAACCTCACACGTTTAACCTGAGGGCAAGATTGCTTTAACCCATGCTCTGTCAAACACTGAGGATATTTTACGTCAATACTGTTGTCGGTGAGAAGCAGTTTCAGAATTCGTTTGGTCCAGCCATCGCTGGGATTCGAACCTAGGTTATCTAATTAGGAAGCGTAGATGGTATATCAGAAATAATAATATTTACAGGGACCTCTGCGTTAATGTATTATGTAATCCGTATTGTTATCTCAACGCATTGTTACAGTAGTATTTAAAGATTGTTTTCCAATCTTTTAATTGAGCTCTTACATAATTTAATTTTGAACTTAATTTTCTTATATATAGATTTCAACTCTAAATGTAAAAATATTTTAGTTAAACTTCAATTTCGCAATTTTAACCGTCAGAACCTGTACTTGATGTAAATCGCTCTTAATCCATTTAAACTTGATTCTTCCATACTTTAAATTTGAGACATAAAATATTCATTAAGAAGTTGATATTCATTTGACTAAATATAAGACTGGCAAATGGCGAAACAGCGAAAGTTTAAAGCTGAATAAATATTTGTTTACTGAATGTCGTTCATCTTTTCAGAAGAGTAATTTAATATGCCAACTCGAAACATTTCTTTCTTAATAAAGATTTATTTCCTTGAAAAATGTCATTTATTATACTAGATTATTTTATTAACTTTGGGAGAAATTTTTATCCTCATTAAGCTTTATAAAATCTTACTATAATTAATTAAGTAATTATCGAGTCAGAAAGACTCATACGTTAGCCGGCTTAAATTTTCTTTCATTTTACTAACATCAAGCTTCTGTAGCAAACAATATAAATGCTTAATGAATGCATAAATAGTAATATATTTATGAATTTCCCTTTAATCATTTGGATTTTGCTTTCGGGAAATTGCACTTTACCTGCATCTTACTTAATTATTGCTTTTAATTGAGAAGAAGAGAAGTAGTAGAAATTAAAGTTATTAATTATGCCCAGCTATTTAAATGAGAGGAGAGATAAAAGGGACAATTTAAATTCTAAATTTAAAAAGAAAAATTATGTAATAAAAAAGAATATATATGTATATATATATATATATTTCTTCTGTGGCCTNATAAAACTGCTTCTTTTCCAAGATAAAGTAGATATTGTTGAAAAATTTAAAAAAAGAAAAAGTAAATTAATAAAACAATTATTAATTGTCAACTTCTTTAAATTATCCAGTATAATATTACCTTGCTGTACATCTATTTTCGGGCCGCCCATGTTTGGTAACTAACAAATCAAACGCACTTCAGTACTGCAGTAAGAACGCACTATACAGCAAAATCCCTCTATTTACGCTTTTACCTCAATTTGCGTTTCTGTTTTCATATTTTGTAACCTCGCAATCTTGTTACGAAACTATTTTAGTGCTCGACTTCGCGCGCAGGTCGTCGGGCTACCGAAGCGGGGGTGCCATCCCCTCCGCAGAGGATTCAAATTGTGATGGCATGTCTTCGGATCATCCTCAGGGATGTTTCCCAGACCGTCGCCAATAGCCCATTGTGCAGCTCTAGTGCGACGTAAATTAACAATAACAATAATAACGAAACTATTTTAAATCATTCTTGAAAAAAATTCCCGTTCATGTAAGTTCATCTGAATACGTTACTCGCTTTATAGATTTGTTTGATGTTTTATTTTATTTTTTTTTCTTTACATTTTATTATCAGTTTTTACATTATATTTTTACTTAATGTGTTCTTTTTTATTTGTTGTAAATTTTTGTAAATTTCTTAGAGTGCTCCTCACACTATTGTATTGATGTATTGCTTTGGCTATATTGATGCAATATTAGAAAGCACTCCTTTTTGCGGATATAATCGAATGAGCTGATGAAAAGATTATATCTTTTATTTTCCGGATTTATATTAATTTGCCCCCCTTTTTTGGATTTTTGTTATTATTTTTCTTTTTTAAATTGTTCTGTAATTTTTTTCATGTTTTCTCTACATTATGAACTAAGGACCAGGTTCCCCTTATCATGGTCATTTGGGCATTATTAGTTACATCATGGAAAAAGCCACGCATTTTCCATTGTAGGATGGCGTTTCCAAAGATTGACAATATATGCACAGCGCGCAAAAGAATAAACGGATTGCAGTGAATAACTTTTGATATAATGATTGGATCTTCACTTTCTAGGACTCATTCTTAATGATTCGGAAGGGTATCCTCAAACGTGTTAGTTAATTTGTGCAGAAGATATTTAAGGTACGAAATCAGACACAAAAACGCATCTCTCTTAATAAACATTCCTACTG